CCAGATGGTTTAGCTGATCTTATCACATCAACCTGGAGCAAGCAGAAATACGTCATATCCCAACTTAAGAACGACATCCAGGTACGTGACATCTTCTTGTAATGATTGATGTGAAAGAAAGGAGAAAGAGAAGAGGAAGAAGAAGAAGAAGGAGAAGTGGAGAATGATGAAGAGAATTAATTTTCCAACTAAAGGATTGAAAATATTATGATACATTCACATGTTTACAGATTTAAAACATAACTTATTGTCTATAAAAATCATTGATTACAAAAATTATGATGAGGCCTATAAAAAAAAGATGTTGTATTGCTCATTTGGTGCCAAAACATGGGTCGGTCGGTCGAATCTGTGTTTTTTTATGTTAATTTTTTGTTTGTTTACTTCCTCTTTGGGCTGGTATTTCTCAGTTTTGAATGCTTTAATACATATTTTTTCTTTAAAAAAAAAAATAAAAAAAAAAAAATTGTTTTTTGTTTTGTTAAAGCCGACCGTTGATTTCAAGATTGTTGGGTCTGTCGCAAAGGGCAATACAACGTATTTTTTTTTAAAGGCCTAATTGAAATGTATTATGTCATTTTCACGTTCGCATATTTCAGTATAATTATGCCACACAAAGCTATTAAAACAAACTAAGTTTGATTTTTGAAAATCTTTGCGATCGTATTCTATTTTGTGTATTTACGATTAAAAAATAATTTGTAATCATCCTTTTGCAGGAATTGAAAGAGTCACCGAAGGACTCTCTGATCGGCCAGTCGGATGAGTCTATCATGGTAACAAATTTGTAGGAAAATGTATAATGAAAAATATAGGTCTGTTTTATATAGATGTTTTCAATATTCATAGTAGGGAGGGGGGGGGGGGGATACAACCAACTGTCAGATCAGAAATAAGAACGTAGCAAAATGCTTCTCACTTCTCTCTTTCCTAATTTAAACTTATATATACCAGAATAAAGGGGGGAAAAGGTGGTGTTAGAAAGAGAGAAGGAAAGAAAGAAGAAAAAAAGCGAGAGAGAGACAGAGAGAGAAAGGTGGGGTTAGTAGGAAATAGAGAATATAAATTTGAGAAAATTGATAGGAAAATATGAAAGTTAGACAAAGAGAGAGAGAGAGAGAGACAGGGTCTTGACTTTCCGACCATAGTATGGGAATAGTGAAATAATAATTTAACGATCTACTATGATAATTCTCCTAACAGGGTCTTGCTCGAATGATGGATGTTGATACCACCCCCTCACAGACCTCGGCCATGGTCAGCAAGATGAAGGTCACCTTCATCAACCTCAAGGACATGGTCAAGGTCAAAGAGGAGAAGATTCAGGTATCTTAACATTATTCTTTATTAGGATGTATGCAAAAGAAAAATCTAATTTATTAGTTTTCTAAGTTAAATAAAAGATTTCAAAGGCAATCCGTTTCAATTTGAGTGATTAGGTGATAACAATAAAATAATGAAAATAATGATAATACTTCTACTGTTACGACCACTACACTGCTGCTACTACTACTACTACTACTACTACTACTACTACTACTACTGCTGCTACTACTAATACTACTAATACTGCTACTATAGTTACTACTTCTTCTACTAATGATTATTATAATAAAGATATTAATGATTTTAATAATAATCATAATGATATAAATGATATTGAAAATTAAATGAAGAAAAATGACTTTAAGACATTTTTTTCACGTAAATGCAAGAAATTTTGTTTTCAAGTCATAATCTGTAACATTGCATGAATCAATTTAATTTGATGCTAACTAAAAGACAATATTAAGCAATTATCTCTTACAGCTAAAACATTGTCAAGTGTTACATGTATTACTTTTGAAATTGACACAAATGCAAATCTCCTCTATAAAAAGTGTTTTTAAACTGTGCATTATTACACATGTAATTTGTATCAAAATGACTGTGGGGAGTGTATTTCTTTCTTCTATTGTTGTTAAATTAGTATTTTCCCCCTTTCCGTCTTCTTCCATCATAGGAGCTCCAGCATCAGCTTCGAATCAAATCCAGTAGGATGTATTTACATCACGATGAAACAGAGATTCAGGTATTGTGATGAAACCAGTTATGAAACATTGTCTAAGAAAATGAATATTAGGATTGTCATCAATAGGCATCACATAGGTGAAATACCAGGAGCATTGAAAATAATGAATGCAGTCTACATGGTTTAGGAAATAAATGGAACACAGTTATAGAGTAAAGCAATAACATATAATAACAATGATATATATAGACGTAGACATTCCTATTTGGTTTCCCAAACATGAAGAGAGAAAGAGTGAGAGAGAGAGAGAGAGAGAGAGAGAGAACTATATAAAATCCTTCCCATTGAAATCATTCATTTCCAGGTTCGAATTACACGTCGTTTCCAAAATAAATTAATGTAGACAAATGTTTAAGTGTGCATGATTTACGTAGTTCGATTGGAAAATATGACTTTAACTGATATAAAGTAATCATGAGATCACATGACGTAAAATATTTTATTCTTTGTCTTTTTCTTGTAGAATCTCCGTGATCGTGAAAAGACGAAGACCAAACGCATCGTCGAACTCCAGAACGACCTGGACAATTTGCAGACCAAGAACCTCGATCTAGCCCTCGACCTGCAGGTGACATTTCTACCCTCTTCGATTTTGTTGTTCGGTTGTTATTCAATAATATTTCATGATTTGAAGAAGTGATGAAGTCGAGGTTAGCTGTTCCCTCGAGTCAAGAAGCTGCCGAAAAGATTAACCTACCATAGGTTTTCTACACAAACTCGGTCCGAGGCAAACGCCAAGGTAATGAAGATACGGCCCTGAGGGCGGACTCGACTGCAACACTGATTTGAAGCTGATTATAGTTTTAGGTGTTTGGTATCCACATACTTATGTTCAACTTGATACTTTCTGAATGTAACTATTAACCTTTCCCTTTCCCTTTCTTCCTATATTTCTTATATGTAGGAAGCTCAAGATAAGCGGCAGACAGCCGACAACCGCGTCTTTGATTTCGAGACCAAGATTCGCGATCTTGAGACAGACATCGAAAAGAAGACATGTGAAATCGAGGTAGGTATAGATAAATCTCAAATTAGCAAATATTTTGCAGAAGTAAGGAGTTGTAATCCTAGATAATATACACAAAATTCATCAATCTGAAGATGACGCATGGAAATAATGACTCCCCCCTCTCTCTCTCTCTTCTGTTCTTAGGATTTACTGCAGCGCTACGAGGAAGCTGGGGAGGTGGTCTTGGGTCTTCAAACTAATCTGGATGAGACTAAACAGAACAACGAGTCTCTCAATGTACAGATCAAGGTATGTCATCTTATTGAAATTTATAAGCCACAATTTGACTTACTTCAAGAAAGAGAACTGCCCTCATAATATAAACGCATAATGGCGTCTAGGGGGGGGGGGGGGGGGGGGGGTTATTGCACGGACAGGGGTCTCTTGCCTATCTCACCTTGTACATAAATCATTAGATGTCCTATTTAAGGCATGCAGAATCTTCTCTTTTTTTCAATGACAAATATTGGAATTTTTGTATTTTCCTTTGTAGCAAAGTGGATGGCGGATATCGTCACAACAAGGTGACATTAAATCAAACAATCATATCATAAAATCATAACCACACAACCGTAACAACAGTTTGAATTTAAATCAAAAAATACCTGCTCATACGGTCTTAGATTTTTAAATGAAAAATCAAACCTTTTACAAAATAGTACTCTGCATATGTCTATAAATAACATTAACATATACATCATGAGTATGTATAAGGTAAGTAACAATATGAAGAACCATTGTAATCATGGAAAAGTTATAGTATTCTGTTTTTTTTTTCTTCTTCACAGCTTGTCAATAAAAACGCGAATTCGCACATTAGATCGGTGAAGGAGATGCCGAATTGTAACTTTACGCATACAATTATACTACGACAAAAACAAAATACACCAAATTTAACAGTAATATTCACTACCATCATGATTATTTATTGAATTATGAAAGAATAATTTACTTAATGAAAAAATAACGTTTTTTTTTTTTTACTTGATTTCTTTTGATTTTATCATCCTAATAGCAAATATATAATGGGAGATACTCCTATATTACCTTAAAACAATTTTTTTATTAAAGGATCTTCAAGCCAGAGAGTTCAAGAAAGATGATCACATCTTGACACTGGAGAAGGAATTGGCGAACCTCAAGCAGATGATGGATTTGGATTCAACGTCTGAGGTGGGTTATGAAAAGAAGCATCGAAAATGACAAAAGTATTTCTATTTCATTATTACCTGGATGAATGACATATGTATGATCTTGTGATAATAATTGCTCCGCGGTAATTTCCTACACAAACCGAACACCTTACCTTCGCCAACCATGGCCACAACATTATAACTTACCTAAACCTGAGCCTTACCTAAAACCCACTCGTAACCGTAACATAATGCCTATACTTTTGGTGAAAAAAAGCTTGGCAAGATTGTCACATTCCCTTTGAGAATCAGTCGTAAAGCCTTCATAGTCACGTGACGCAAGAGTATGACATAGCTTAATATTTTCTTACAAGTATATTTTGTTTACTGAAAATATTCATTTCAGGATGGCTTCATGACATCAAAACTAAACCAGAATGCCCTGAAACTTCAGAAGAAATCATTCGACCAAGAACTTAAGGTAAGAATACAAACTCTTCTTAACATATATTTTAAAAGATTAAGAAGAAGAAAAAAATTATATTGACTTACGTCACATCGAACTTTAATAGCCATACATGTAATCCTCCGTTTGAATTTACTCGTTATCTTGCAAAAAAAATTGATTTTTTTTTCCCCCCCCCCTTTATAACCCTCGTTTCAGAATCTTCGCTCTAATGGTCATGAAAGGGACTACTATGTCTTGAAGCTGGAGCAGGACATTGGAAACATGCAGAAAGAGAAAGATGAGTTGTATCAAGAGATACAGGTAAACTGACCATTTATAATGTCATACATTGAAATTGTAATTAACATGTATCATTTTATTAGCATGATGAAAATAATTATAAGCGCTAGTAAATAATGGAGAGGGCGTACCCCGTCCGGATTCGGCGCTCTATCATGGCCCGCTGATGGGGAATCAGTTTTCTACTGTAGGCTACCAAGACAGGGCTGCCCAAATGTTATACTTCCAGATAAATATTGTGAAGCATTCTGTAACTGCAAATTTGCTATTAACATACTTTGAGGATTGGATTGAAATTTTGAAATGCATATTTCATACGATAAGGAACATTATAGGAATGGTCTATACTGATAATAATGATCATCCCTAAACTGAAAGGAACCATGTCAACATAATATAAATTAATTTCATGTGCGAATATTGTATCAAAACTCTCTATACTTCTCCCCACTTCATTTCATTTCCAGAACTCATTTTCTAAAGACCGCAAGACCAACCATTGTGAGGACGAACTGAAACAAGAGATTGAAGACCTGAAAGAACAGAAGTTCGAGCTGGAGCTAAAGCTGAAGGTAGATCATTGCATAATAATGAGGATAGTGATTTAAAAAGTAGATGTATTCGATGAATTATAAAAAAGACAATCAGGATTATAAAATTGTAGCTGAAGAACAAGAAGTAGTAATAATATTAGTGATATGTTTAATAAAATATTGTAGTATTGTTGTTTTTAATGAAAAGTGTAACTTGTATAGATTAAAGCTAATATCATTATTGAACCAATGAACGATCATGGATATACAGGTACAAAGAAGTTATATTCAAAGACGCAATTCGAAGACAAAGTAGGTTAAACAACTATTACATTTTTTTTCTTCAAAATTTAATTCAAAGGACACCATATCCAAAGCAGATGAAGAGATCTTTGAATCCAAGAAGAGGGTTTCTGAAGTACAAGTTCAAAAGATCGAACTAGACTCTAAACTCAAGGTAACATATTTAGTCTGCCCGTTGAGGGCCAGGAGGGCGTTAGGAGTTAACGCCCTTCTGACCCTAAACAGATGGTTAGTCATTAAACGAGGAATGGGCGAGACTTTAAACCCATTCAGGGGGACATCCAATGTGTTAAGAAGTGATAAAATCACTCTTGAACTTGATCATAATTATAGAGAGATGTTAATAATCACTTAATAAATTCCTATGATACTTAAGAATATGCATAGAGTTGTATGGCAATATTTGAATACTCCATTACATGCATACTATAATATTGACATTCAAACAATAATAAATAAAGAGATGATAACAATTAATTTATAAAGTTGCACATTGGGTGGTGCAGTATATGGGTCAAAATTTATATTGAAGGGAAAGAAGGCCTATACTCAGCCTGGATCCCCAAACCACCAAATGATGGGTCTCCATCTTGTATATTAATTTTATAAAATTGGAATACCTTGTTCATGATGAATAGACCGTAGGCGAAAAATATTCGAAGGCAAAAGATCGTCTCCGCCAGCTCGGAAAGGATGTTGCCGATTTACGGAGCCAGAAGAACGAGGCGGATTCAGATAATCAGGTACAAATAATCGATATTAATATTTCAGGTGTTTATAGAACTATTAAAGATCTTTTACAGTATGAAGCAGCGTTTAAAATGGAATTAGATACTTTTTGTATGAAGTAAATGTTGAATTACGTCTTTATATTATGAGAAATTTTGGATACTTTTTAACCAGAAAGACAACATTTTTCCTGACATAAATCTTATTTATTTCATGATATTATTCAGATTCTTATCTGCAATTCAATTCAGCTTAGCTAAAATGGCATTTATTTACCATAAACGAAATCCTTGTATATACAAAAGCTTGTAGCGACGGAGCCCCGAAAAAACTATACTAGCTTTGCTATCACACCTACTGATAAACATTATAGACAAAGTAAACCAAACGAATAATTAAATATTATACAAACAAACATCACACCTTCTTTTCAATCAATCGAATTTAATATGTAATAATCATAATTGTCATTACATTTATACTAAAGACAAACGAAACGTATATATTATGAAAAATATCATATTCAATATCTTTCAGCGTCTTTCACTTGAGATCAAGGACCTAAAGGCCGACATTAAGCCGCTCCTGTCAGAGAAGGAACAGTTGAAATCTTATTCCATGGTAAGTTCTTAAGATAATGATTACAAAAAAACAAACAAATAATTGAATGAATAAATGAATTCATACATGAATACATTATGAAGAAAAATAAATGAATAGGCAAAACACAGACAACAATAAATAGCGTTACCAATCGGTATTTTCTGCAACTTATTAATCTCATTTCTCGTTTCATGCTAAATAGGAGTTAGAGAAGAAATTCTTAGACACCACAGATCGTCTCAGTCATCTGACAGAGGATGTTGCCAATTTACAGAGACAAACGAAAGAGGCAGATTCAGAAAATCAGGTACAAATAATAATTGTTGTTATCAAGATTCTACCCAAAGTTTTTAAACCATATTTTTTTATAAGTAATGTTCAAAATCGACTCTTCTCAACCATTTACCATTTACGTCTTTATTCCTCGAGAATATTCATGACATTATTGATCTTTAACTTGGTTGAATTTCAAATAGCGGACGAACATTTCCCACTGGTATTTTTAATTTATTGCGCTTAATCGTCGCAACAATATACCTAGTCCTATCACTGTTCAAAATGGTAACGACTGCAAATACATTATTAAAGGTATCACTTACTCTGAAGTTGAATGCATTCGAATCAACTCCAAACGAAGTGATCGAAGTTATATTACTCCTAAAAGAGGATCCCACTTCTGTGCATTTAGTGAGTAATAATATTTCTAACGACTTATCTATGTATAATATCAAACTAATCGTACTTATTTAGTGGCTTTCTGATGTGGTCTCACAACATAACGCTGATAAGGAGCAGCTCATATCGGGGAAGGAACGACTCTTGGCTCACTCAAAGGTATGTCTTTTTCTTAGTCCTTTTTTGAAAAAGTAATCACTACATTATTTACACACGGAACCTTTAATGTTTGTTTCGGAGATTTCAATCATCAAAACGCAAGCTAAAGACCAAGCAGACATAGTGAACAATTATGGAAGCATAGAAATAATTTTGTTGATAATTTTTTTTTTTTTTTTTTTAGAATTTTCGTCTAAATATTCATATCCATAATTTGTTTTTGTTATCGCAATTTTTTCAACAATGATAACTAGGCGTTAGAGGAGAAAAATACCAAGACCGAAGATCATCTCACGGAGTTGAAGAAGGAATTTGTCGATTTACAGAGCCAGAAGAACCAAACAGAGGCAGAAAATCAGGTATAAGTCATAAATTTGTTATTAATCAAGGTACATATATGTACAAGTTTAAAATTAGCAGTCACGTATTGGATAGTTTCTGTGTCATATTATCATATCCCTGTTTATTAAAAAAAAAAACGAATGATATATTCATCTCTCCTTAATGCTAAAGACCTGCATAAATGAGTCATGATTAAACATACTTGTACTTACTGATATTTTCAGCGCCTTTCTGATGAGGTCTCGCAGCGACAGGCTAATATAGAGCAGCTCCTTGCAGAGAAGGAACAACTCGAGTCTAACTCTGAGGTATGTTTGTTTGTTTGATTGTTTGGTTAGTTGGTTTGTTAGTTTATATTAATACATCTTATCCACACAGGAAGCCTTAATATTAGTTGTAAAACTCTAATCACTCCACAAAAAAAGGTGCTGTCCTTTTCCTGATTTCCCGACGGATTGCGACTTTTTAGCAACTTTTGCTCGAACTAATGCATTGTAAAGAGTTTAGCGATACTACTTTAGTATTTTGAAGGGGGAGGTGGGAGAGCCTAATCCTGAAGAATTTCACCCCCTCCCCTAGAACAAGAAAAACCAACTAATCACAATACACAAACAAAACCATTTTGCTATGGATAATAAATAAATAACGTAATGTTAAGTGAGATAAGTAAAATATTGTAAGTTATACAATCATTTGACTATTTGTTAAAAAGCAGAAATAACCGACATTTCCTTTTAAAAACCATCGGGTCGGGTTGAAATTCGAAATTTGCAAAACGGTAGTGTTAAGCACAGGTTCTGAAGCCATACTTCAAAAGATTGAAGGGACAGAGAAATGGGAATCACAAAGAATTCATAACAGGTTAACCCCAATACAGACAAATTGACCGCCGGTTTATGTTATAGAATATGGAACCATCACACAATAATTATTCAACGTATTAATATACCTGTTTTAAAGGAATTGAAGAAGAGCTGTTCAGCAGTAAATCAAGAGAAAGACCGACTTGAACTTCTCGTGGGGAGCTTGACAAGAGAAAAGGAACTTCTTTCAGCCCAACTTGAAACAGCTGGCCAGAAATATCAGGTAAGAATAATCACTAAACAAACAAACAAACAAGCAAAACAATAGGATTTATACTACGTACAAAAAACAGAAAATGTTTGAACTTTAATCTCTTTTCTTCATGTGATGCCAATTGACGACTAAAGGAAGAAAAATACATTCATTTTTATCCGAAAAGTATCGATGCAAAGTAAGTATGAGACTATCAAAAATAGGAGTCCGAAAAAGAAATTCAGACTCTAAAGAAATAATGATGAAAAGATCAAAATAACACCCCAAAAAAAAATAATATCGTTTTCGTACAGGTATTAAAGGACCAGTTTGAATCAAGCAACGAAGAAGGTAAGAGACGCCAGGCTCTGACACGGCAGTTCAGCGATGAAAAGTCTCAACTTTCCAAGCACCTTGAAGATGCCCGACAAAAATGCCAGGTATTATAGAAGACAAAAAAAACAGCTACTTGTAAATACAAAATAGGATGCTTCGATGTCTTTCAAATTTGATCATTGACTATTAAATAACTTTAATAATATTAAATAATCTTTTTGGTTTTAGTTTTGAATATAGTTTTGCTTTTGCGTTTTGTTGATGACTCCACAAGGTTAATAGCCTTATTTTGATGGAAATCTACCACATTTACTTGCATAATAGGTTTCAGCAATAATATGTGATAAAAAGATTGTGTTATCTTGCCATTGATAATTTTGAAATTATGTTTTCCTATTTGATTTTTCATTTCTGTGAGCTTTGGAATGCCCTTTAATACTTATTATTAGCAGAGACAAAACACGATGTGCTTTTGTTCTCTGTCGATTTCTCTATCTTTCACACTTGCATTGGCTACTTTCTTCAATGCTTTATTCCTTTCATTTGTTCTCTCTTTCCCTCACTCCCCTTCTCTCTCTCTCTCTCTCTCTATCTCTCTCTCTCTCTCTCTCTCTCTCCCTTCCTTCCCCTTCTCTCTCCCCTCCTCATCCACTTCTTCTCCTTCTCCTCTCTATCACCTTCTCTCTGAAATGCAACATTTTAAAATTATTTTTGTTTTAAAAGGAATTGGAGGAGAAACTCTCGGCTGAGGAACAGGGGAAAGAACAACAGCAGAATGAGGAACTTACAGCTCAAGTTAAGAAGGCTCAACAGCAATATCAGGTATAAACATAACACAAGTTGTAACGAAAAAAAAGAGAAAACTATCATTTCCAGCAAAGAAGCAAATCGAAGATATATAGATAATTGGGTTATTACTGTCAAACCGAAATACCATGGAATGCCATTCCACAAGAAACATTCCGCAAATTGCAAATATTTAATTTTGTGTCAAATGATAGTGGTTCAATTATTCCGCGACATGAAACTTTCGTGCATTTTAATCAATTGCGAAATTCGAGAAACATAATGCATGCAAACGTTTTCGGTCCTAAATCTGTTGCCCACTCGTCGAAATACGCTGACAAACATATTGCCTTAATAATCAGACTTCTGGTATATAACTTTGAAAATGGGATGTGCCTAAAACAAATTTGAAATGCTTTAAAATCATATTCTTACTCCCTTAATTCAAAGAGTTCTATTATTATTAGTCACTTCGTTTTTTAACTTCTCCAAACGGAAACCACTCCAAATTTTGAGAGTAAATATAATTTAGAGAGCAAATACTTCCACTTTCATCCCTTTTATCTTTGTAGGACCTGAATGAAAGATCCGCATCGGAGCTAGAAGAAATGACGAAAGCTCGCAAAGAACTTGCTGAGAGAGCGGCGAAAGAGAAGGATGTGCTCACAGCTGAACTCGCAGAAGCTCGCAAACAACTTGAGGTACAGACAATCATATTTTTAAGGTCACGAGGCCCCGAACATTTTTTTATTTAAAAATTGTGGTTAAGGATTTGGTTAGGGAATGCATGTCATTACCTTTATTTCATTTGTGTATGGCGAATCCCTTCGTCTTCCTGCATTAACCTTCTTTCCATCCCCATCTCTGTTGTCAACATAACATTGAAACGCTATCTTTTATTTGACATCTATAGCAAATGCAAGAGAGAATAGAACGTGTCCATAGAATAGGCGACGGATTAGCCGAGAAGAACCATAGCCTCTCAGGTGAAATTGGAATTGCCGCTAGGAACTACCAGGTACATGTATAACCAACCCTCAAAAGATTAAATATAAAACTAGATTAACAATGATTATTATATAATTCAAATTTACAATGATTATTCCATAACGATCGCAAATACTTTCAAGAAATCAACCCAAGACAATTCCAAAAGCCTTGTAAATCACCCTTTTAAATATACGAAATAAACAATGATATATTACATAATTCGAACAATTTTTCTAAATGCATTACAATAGCGTAATGAAAGTGAACCTTAGCTGTCTTCTTCTTACTCCTTGCGAAAGAGTTTTGAAGTTTTCAGGGGTTTTTCAGTTCGTTTTTGAGGCGTATATATATATATATATATATATATGTTTCGGTCATGAAATTAAAGCTGCCACCGATCTTTAATTATTGATTTTTAAAATAATGTAGTGAGATCTTGTTTGAATCTCTATAACAACTCGTTCTCCCTCACATCTTCAACCCCTTGTTTCTGACAGGAGTTGAAGGATGAATTCAAATCTTCGAAAGAGGAAAGCGAGATGAAAGTTATCACGCTGCAGAAGAAGAATGACTCCATTTCATCTGAACTCGCAACTGTCCGCATTAATTGCAAGGTAATAATACAAAGATTTTTAAAATAATGTAGTGAGATCTTGTTTGAATCACTAAAAATGTGTATAAATCTCTATAACAACTCGTTCTCCTTCACATCTTAAACCCCTTCTTTCGGACAGGAGTTGAAGGATGAATTCAAATCTTCGAAAGAGGAAAGCGAGATGAACGTTTCCAAGCTGCAGGCGAAGAATGACTCCATTTCATCTGAACTCGCAACTGTCCGCACAAATTGCCAGGTAATAATACAAAAATAATTTTGTTACCAAGGGTAATACTACGTCATACATTTCCTGTCTGACAATTTTTATCATATGAAATAAGTAAAGATTTACCCAAAATCTGTTGATTTATTCGCTCCATGATGATTTCTCAACTCACACCAAAACCATGAATGTTCCAAGTAGAATGTATTTGCAATATTCATAACAAGATATGCAATGAAAAAGACAATAATAATAATAAAACTCATAACAGAGAGAAATGTAATACCTCCATATCTAAACCATTATGGAAGTCTTACTCCTGAACATGCCTCGAGGATTAAAAAAAACAAACTTCTAAATACCTGTCTTTTAACATTAGCATGACCATGGAATGGACGTTCGAGTAGAATTAAATATTGTAGAGCTAATTGAGCATCTCCCCTTTAAACAAGAAGAAATAATACATATCTCTCTCTACCGACCAAAAATCATTAACCTCCCTTTATTTACACCCACAGGAGCTACAGGAGACACTTGAGGAGTTAAAAGAAGAGAATAAGAACATGGTTCAGGCAACAATTTCGGCACAGGGAGGAAAGAATGAGGAAGTATATGAAGAGCTGATGAAAAGCTTCCAAGAATGCAAGGTAATAACTTGTTATCTTGTAGAGGTGTCGTGGTGTAGTGGATACGTCTCCGGACTGTGGATCACATGGTTCACGGTTCGAGTCCCGCCACGGTGGACTAATGTCCTTTGGCAAGATATTGATCTGCATTTTGCCACTACCGGTAGGAACGAATTCCTTGAATGCTGTGAGCACCGACATCGGTAATCTAGCAGAGCCGGGGTTATGCTTGGGCACCTTGAGCACATTTCATGGTGGATATGTGCGCTTATTATAAAACTATATCCAATATTACTATTTGTATTATCTTTATTATTGTTATTGTTATTATAACCATTATTATCATTAAAATCCCTGTTTAACACTTTTCAAAGAAAATGGAGACGGCGGAATTTTGCGTGAACCTATGAATTAATCCGTATGGAAAAGAATTGCTGTGAAATTAATTTATATAAATTTAACGATAATAAAAAAAAAATATTCCAATGTTTTAAATGTTATTTTTGTGTTGGACTAAATTTGGAGTTTATACTGAATAACTATCATGTTTTGACCTCGAAGAAAGAACATCTTCTCCCTTTTCTAACTTTTCTTCTTCAGGAAAAAGAAGAGGCATTGGAAGAAGAACAAGAAGAGTTCGAAGAAACAGTTGCCAAATGGGAGAAAGAAAAAGCCAATTTCTTGAAACAACTCGAAGATCGTCAAGGTGTATTGCAGGTAGTGAGCATTGATGATCATTATCACATAGATGCATGTAAATAAAATAATAGAAAATGTCCACGCAATACGTACCAAACAGAAACCACCACAGTCCTGTTTATAAGTACATGATAATTCCAAAACGATCGCAATGAGTGTAAAGTATACCCAGGACATGATAGACCAATGTAGACCATGTTGATGATTATGATAATAATCAGGATCATGGATTATATCTTATCTAACGATTTCTTTTAAAAATTACCCAATGCGTAACCAAGACAAAACAATTTACAAGCTCCACCAGACTAAGATTGTTCATTGCTTTCAGGAGGCCAATTCTAACCCGGCTAAGCTTCAAGGTGGAACCGAAAATCTTGACGAGCGAATTGCCGGGCTCCAGAAAGAGAAAAAGAAATTAGAAGAAAAACTTCAGGCTGCTGATAAAGAACGCAAGGTAAAACAACAATTGAGCCCCCCCCCCTTCCCCCAAACAGGGGTTATAAATATTATAATATTTTTTTCCCATTGGAAGGGGGTTCTGATAAGTAATTTGTAATGTAGCATGACAATAAAACGTTTCATAATCCATATATTTTTCTAAAGGCAAGACATCAGGGTATTGAAACTGCACTCGATTCTTGAAAGTCTTTGTGATCGCGTTCTCTTGTACAGGTGCCGTGGGCTACTTGAGAAGTTGCCCGGACTGACCCACAATATACGGGGTTCGAATCCCTGTCCCAGCACTAACGTCCTTTGGCAGGATGTTAATCTACATTTGCCACACTCGACCCAGGTGTAGTGAGTGAGTAGGAAGTCATCCTCAAAGGCACTGAGCGCTGCAGTTGCCGAAGCTAGAACCGGGGAAATAGTATCATCCAAACTCCTTTGGAAAAGCATACAGAGATGTTATATCATAATATGATACGCATTATACAAGAACAGCATATTATTGTCTGTACTCGTGATTATCTGCAAACTTTTCTCCTTCTTTTGGTACAGGCATCGGAAGGTGAACTCAAGTCTGTGAAGGAGGAAAGCGAAAAGCAGGTCACTGAGCTGCAGGCTGAGAACGATTACATGATACGTGAAATGGCAGCCCTACGCGACCTTTGCGTGGTGAGGGAATCGTATACCTGAAAATTAATTTCTCAATTCAATTTAAAGAAATGTTTATTTTCTTAATTTTCCCCATATTCAGCAAATAATCAAGCAATATAATGTATCAAAATATGACATACATGATTTATTTAAGGGCATTGTAACACAATGGGGAAGGCGCAAATGATTAATATTAAATTTAACCCTCCCCCCTTTTTTTCCCTTTTTTTTCTTACAGCTGGAACATCTTTTAGGGGTGTAAAGTCGCTTCCTTAAATGAGTAACGAGGCGCAAATGATTAATATTAATGTTAACCCTTCCCCCCCTTTTTTTTTTTATAGCTGGAACATCTTTTAGGGGTGTAAAGTCGCTTCCTTAAATGAGTAGCGAGCGAAATTGACTTACTGTCTTCTTCAGAAGTTATGTTTATGGTCGAATGAGACCCACTAGACGGATGAATGACTTTGGCCTTCGTGATTGAAAACAAAGTTGGAAAACAAATCCCTGAATTCGTTTAATAGTGTATTAAGGACCATATGTTATATCTTACTCCAAGAATATGTCTACACGAGCTACAAAAATACACAAAACACCTTTCAGATGTCTCATTAATGTGTTGAAAACAGTTTTATTGAAAATAGGTCCGAAATATGATTGTGAAACTAACGTTTATCAAGTTCTTCATTAAAAGTAAGAATACTCAATCATATTCTGTAATATACATTTCAAAGTGCTCTTTAGATCAAACCATTTTAATAGCTCTCTTCGACCAACCTTACAGGAAACGGATACATCATTGGAGTCTGTGGTAGAAAGGAATGATCAACTGAAACGGGCTTTGAGGCTTATTCGAAAAGGAAATGACGATGAACTCTTGGGAGAATTGGAGAAAAGTTTCCTAAAATGCCAGGTAAAAAATGTAGTATGTGAAAAATGGCGTATTCAGCATATTTTGGAAGCTGACGTATACAGGACCTAATCTCAAGGACGAGGATTTTTGTTGTTGTTGCTTCAACAGCAAAGGCCCTAGATACAAGTCACCTATTGCCACCCCCTCCCCTACCCCACCCCTGGCCTGGGGGGGGGGGACTCTTCGCTTATTTGTTAATACGTCATCATGCATGAATCTGTTAAAGAGAAAGATAATATTGATAAACGTCAAGGAAATATTGCATCTTTGTTTTTCCGTTTTCTGTCGACGGAACTTAATGAGTAGATCATAGATGACAGATTTGTCACGTTTGAAGCATTTTGAAGGTGGAGTTTGCATTATCCCGATAATTTTTCTCCAGGATTTGGATGAGGCTTTGGAGCGGCAGCGGCAAGAACACAAAGAAGAAGCTCAGATATGGAAGGAAGAAAAGACATATCTCTTTGAAGAATTCAAAGACCTTCAACTTTTAAGTCAGGTATGGGCACGCATCATCGGTGCTACATAGGTTATAATCTCCGCCTGATATAATTAAAATTATTAACGATAAAAGTTTAATGATTGTTATACGATTTCATTGGTGAAAGAAACTCACTGGAAACAACAGGGAAAAGTAATGATGTTTATAGTACAACATAAGATTTAATATATACTGTGGGGTTTCTTGACTAATAAAAATGGAAACAAAATAGATTGTGCTGAAAATTACATGTGCTGTGCACAGAATGGGTACATGGGACTACACAGACTTGTGGCGTTAACACTGTCAAAATGTGGTTGACATCTGTCAGTTGTTGCCCGTTATATTGCGAATATGAGGAATTTCAAGGGAAATCCTTTGCAGGAGGCGTTTTTCAACTATGACATTTCTTTCAAACTAACATTCACACTCCTGTTTACATCTTTAGGCTACCAGAACTCAATCTTCTCTTTAAATGTAGATTTAAGCGTACACCATGATGATAATTATTATAAAAATCAGGAACAGGGTACTATGGTTTATCGTTTGATTTGTGTTTAATATATCACAACGTAAGAAGAAGAGAAATGACAAGGGGTGCTAATTACAATCGGTTCGTTAATTTTAGGAGGCAAATTTCTCACCAGCTGATATTCTAGAAGCTACCGAAAAGTTTGAAAAACAAATCGCACAGCTTCAGAAAGACAAGAAAGAACTTGAAGAAAAACTTCGGACTGTCGAAAAAGACCGCAAGGTAAATATGATGAAAGTGAAATAACTGTGTATAACTAACAACCATTATGTGGTTGATATCTGCTGTAGTTTATGGTCGTTATAACAAATTGAGAAATAATATATATATTCCTTGTACTTTTTATTTTTTTGGTAACTTATCTAATATTGTGTTTATTTGAAAAGGACCTCACTTTTACAAGCACATTTGCTTCTTAAATGTCCTAGCCTATAATGTATTTAAGATTTATCTTTTCCTGTCTATACTATTTTTAATGACGTCATATTTGAATGGAATTGAATTGAACTAAATATTTTTAAAAAGAGTATTTTCGTGAATTCGTAGGATTTTGAAATCTCATCTATAAATTGAATCTCAAAAATCTTGCTTTAGCTCATGCACTAATTAAGAACATCGTATAAATGCTGACACTGGTAAATTAATCCAACCTTTTCAATGAATCTGACTTGACATAAATCTATAATAAATTCAAAATAATAAATTACTGTTTAGTATATATTTAGCGGGGAAATGTATTTATTTTCCCTTATTTATTTGGCGACATTAAGAGATTTTAACAGTATTTAAAATCGTTTATGTGTTTACAAAGTTTGATTTGCACTTATTTTTCTATTTGTTCGTCTTAAGGATTTTCGGGAGAAATCTGCCCGTGAATTCCTGGGGTTCCAAGAAAGATATGCCAAATTGGAGAAAGAAAAAGCCAATCTCCTGAAACAACTTGGAAACTGTCAAACTGATTGCAAGGTATGGTAATAGACAACCAAAATGACCAAGACAAAATAGGCTTACGTAAACAAAGTCGCATAAAATCTCAATAATTAATAAATGATACTGAACATTAGGATATTCTATATGGAATAGGGTTTAAGTTTATTTGCTGAGTTAGGTTTAACATGGTAAAATATTAAACTGTTCATCTTGAGTGAACAAATGTGCTTTTAATTTAAAAGAATCGATTTAACAGTACCTTAAAGCTAAAAGAAAACTATTGACAAGGTGTGCCTATCACAATTGTTGTTTTTCCTTTTAGGAAGCCAAATCTAGAGCGGCTGAGATTCAAGGCGCTACCAAAAAGCTTGGGGAACAAATCGCTGAACTTCGAAAAGAGAAGAAAGAACTGGCTGAAGAAATTCAGAATGCTGCAAAAGAGCAAGAGGTAAACTACAAAAAAATGATACATAATAAAATGATATGAATCAAACAAAACTAAACTTCGGAATGGGGGACCTTCACGGTTTCGGTGATTTAGTTTGCCTGCCCCATTCCTGGCAACTTGTAAATGCTCATGGGAATCACGATGATTTTCATCCTTTGTTTTGTATGATTTGTTCTTCTATGTAATCCTCTGTATACACTTTGTTTTGCCGAATAAATAATAATAATAATAATAAGCGAACCGTCACCCGTTTCTTACTGAAAAGAGGTAATAGGACTTTCACACAACACAGCTTTGTTTAGCATGAGCTCACTGACTGATAATAAGTAGGGTAAAAATGCTAGCAAGAGTGTTAAATCTATAATTTGATTTGGTTCTGGTAAACCCTTTCAAGATGAATAGAAAAAGACAATGTGAATAATATTGATTATTAATACTGATGAATTTTAAGCAAGTCCATCATTAATTCGTGTTTTGAAATAGAAATCATCCGTATGACCGTATATCACTCATTTTCCTTTTTTTTTTCTTGACGAAATTCACATTACCTACAAAAATTGTCATGTTTTGAAATGAAGTTTACATTTCTCCTTTTCGCCTCCTTCTCAGGATTTAAAGAAGAAATCAGCATGTGAGACCGTAAAGCTCAAGGAGGAATCATCAAAATTGGAGAAGGAAAAGGCCAATCTAACGAGACAACTTGAAGGCCGTCAAATTGTGTGTCAGGTAATATATGCCATTTGACGATCAAGATTATATAAGCTCATATAAATGTTAAATTATCAACTTGTTGTTTATTTTCATTTTTAACAGAAATAACACATTAATTTTGTAGGCCTACATAGAATCTATGGTTTCCTTTGGATCGAAATCTAATCACCAAAATTATGATCTCAATCAATTTGGTAAAAATATGATATAGTGAGCGTTTTGAGAGCAATTTTAGCAATACTTAGCCATTCTATTGCATCAAAATGTAATCCCTCTACATTTTTCGACAGCAATTTGAGGAATACCTGGCGGCAGCTACTGAGGAAAGTGAGAGACACATGACACTCGCCATGAAGCTGAAGGAGGAAAATGAAGATCTCTCCAGGCAACTCACCCAGGCCCAGAAGCAAAGTCAGAAGGTAAACCATAGAGAGAGATAGAGAGACGGCGAAAAAAGCGATTCTACTGCATCATGGGTTACTGCGCATATTGATCGTGTTTGTTAATATAAACATAATTGTTAATAAACATGCAATCCACGCTTTAAACTTTATAGGACAATTAACCTTTCATAGAACAATGTGTTTCCCTACACATGTAACCCCTTTTTGAAAGTTGGACATCTGCCTTTTTCATTAGAGCTTTATTAAAACAGGGGTGAAAATGATTGTAATACTCATAATTAAGCAGTATACAATGCTATATGATCATTCAGCACTCTTACTATATAATTAGCTTTTAATTTATCATTACTGCCAATGTATGTACTGTAGCCGTCAAGAACAATTCAACTACTTTAACAAGAACCTCTTCTCTCTACAGGAATCAGATCTAAGCCCAGCTGTGCCTCCTGACAAAGTCGAAAAGCCAGATGAACAAACCGAGGAACTTCAGAACATCAAGAAGGATCTGGAACAGAAACTCAGCAAGGCCGAAAATGAGAGCTCGGTAAGATTATACATTTTGAAGATACATCCATAAGAACATCATATCAAAATAGCTATTGAATAAACTTGGCGCAACCACGGCCCCCAAGCAAAAACAAGCAATGCTATTACGAATACACTAATAAGTAAAAGAAGACTTTGTCATTGCTTTACTGTTTGAATTTATAGCTTATCAAATTTCTAAAAACTAATTAAAAATAGAATACTGGAAGCAATGTTGTTCAAAGCCTTTTCAACTCCAAATCCCCTTAGTTAAGAGCATGTTTCATCAATTTGAAATTAAAGGCATCGTTTAAGGGATCCGGTAACTTTGTCTCAGTTACCCAGTCCCTTTAAACAGGAATATTGATCATTGATACCGTATATTTCCACTAGATACGTAGCGGTTTTCAAATATCAATATTCTTATAAGGATATCGAGGATCATGATGGATCACAATGCTACTATTGGCGTAATAAATGTCCCATATGCTAACACTTTAAAAAGAGCGCATGTTGATGCTGCTGATTATAATGATGAACAAAACAAATCAAGTACTTCCAATGTATCTTTTAAATTTGTATTATTAATGCATTCGTATCATCATTACCTCTTACTATATAACGTACGTGTAGGAAGTTATTGTTCATTAAATACCATTATTTATCCATGTGTTCAAACCACAACTAGAAACTGGTCATGAAAAATCAGGTTATCACTAAAAGAGTGAAGGACTTGGAAAAGCTGGTGAAAGAGACTGTAGACCAAAACATCAAGCTCGAGAGTGAAATCAAGGTAAGCTGTATTTTGTTAAATAGTATCAATAGGAATGATGATAAGAGTTACAATAATACCCAACCAAATGTGCTGATTATTTGCGTTTGTATTTTATTATAGCGCCCTCAACACAAGCCTCGCGCTTTCAGGGATTATCGCCTCCGTTCTACATTGTAAACATACATTTCGCTTTATGTTAATTTTGATAATACATGTTTGAAGAAAATAAATGTTCCTCGATTCTTGACCTATCACTATCTAAGAGACGTTAGTAATAATGGTGTTACTTTAGTTAGATAATAGAAATATTTATTCTATGATGTTAATAATATTACTAAATGCACAATTATCCACCTAATGTTTTTAAAAATTAGATTTCTTTTAAAATATTCTATCATTCATCGAATATAATTGCATTCTTAATAATATACATGCTCATTGAAGTGTAGGAAAACCATGCAACACTGACAGAATGGGAATGAGGAAATTGTGTTTGTCCATCATTTGCTCTAAATAGTAAGGACATTCCGCAAATATGAAGAGGAAAATTCCATACACACAACATAAAAAACAATGAATAAGTCAATCAATCAAGCAAATAAAAGTTTAAAAAACAAGAAAACAATCACAAAACTGATAACTAATATTAAAATGGTAACTCTATTTGATCTTTGTAGAAATCTACTTCTAGACCTGCTTTGGCCCCGGGTGTCGCCGAAAAGCTCAAGCAGAAAGTTTACGAGCTTCAAAAAGAAAGAAAGGAACTGGAAGAAAAACTTCAAATAACCGAACAGGAGAGCAAGGTAAAAAGAAACGATACATTTCATTTAAAAAATAGCTAGAAGAGGGTGTGGGAGAGAAGACGCGATGGCCCAGTGGTAGGGCAGTGGTGTCGTAACTGGAAGGTCCTGGGTTCGAAAACAAGTCGATGCGCTTTAGTAAGGCATTAATCCTCATTACCAATGTCCCTCGGAGAGGACTTAAAGTCATCGGTCCCCTGGTTGGTTACTTACAAGCACACCCATGCTTTATTAGCAGTCAAGAAAACAAACTAGCTATCAAACCAAATAAAACGAATTCTGAAGACAAAAAAAAAAATCTGAAATTGATTTGCACAAACTAGCGTCGTTTCTCGAATCGATAATGAACAACGAACGCATGTTGACATTGAGTGATGAAATAATCTTGGAACTAAATAGTTAACTTAACGAGCTGTTGATGATGAGACAACTATTATCGGTATGGAGAGAATCAATCTAAATAAAAAGAACAAGCATAAGCCGTTGCAAGGTGTTGAAGACTGAACAAAAATGGATTTTTAAGAATATATTTTTAACTTGACATTTCATGATTTTTTTCATCTACAACAAGTTGCTCGATCATGTCCTAGAAAATGACAAAATAAGAAACTTTGAATTAAGAAAAATATACTTTAATGTAAACCTTGTCTCTACTTCAGGATTTTGCTGAGAAAACCGAGACAGCCATGGAAAAGGTGAAAGAAATGGAAGGACTTAAGAAGGAGGCCGAAGAGAAGAACAAGGAGCTAGAGTTTGAAATCAAGGTATGAAATTTGTTTTCAATCTTCCAAGATTAGAGTAAGCTAAGATAATTAAGCAGTTATCAATACCTTTCCCCTTTAGTCCTATCACCCTATCATTCTCTTTAAATGTCCTCCTTATCCCCTTTTATCCTCTTTAACTTTATGTTACCTAAATTACTCCCCCTCCCCCTCTCTCTGTCTCTCTGTCTTTTGTCTGTCTGTATGTCTATCTGTCAATCTGAATCTCTTTTTCTCTGTCTGTATGTGTGTCAGTCTGTCTGTCAGTCTCCCCCTGGTCCTCTCTCCCTCTCTCTCTCTATCTCTCTCTCTATCTCTCTCTCTCTCTCTCCCCCATCACTCCATCTCTCCCATCTCCCCCAATATCCCCTTTCCGTTTCTCCCGTCCCTCTTCCTCTGAATTCTCTTACCCCTTTCGTTTAACTTCTCTGCATCTCCGTCCCTAGATTTAATCACGTCTATTTAATCTTTAATTTTCAAATAACTTTTAATGCTAATATTTTTTCAGCACAATTTAAAACCTCTCTATTCTCTCCCTCGATTTCAAACTTTTCTACTCTCTTTTATATCTGATTGATACTCACTCTTTACCCACATTGTTACGTTATACAAAACACATACGAGAAGAAATGTCTATAACAAACCACTTTATTATTTACAATTTTGATTTATAACAATATTAATATCCCATTCCAGACTGGCTTATCAATGGTCGCCGATTACAAGTATGATATCGCCGATATGCAAGTCCGTAACAAAGGCCTTAAAAAATCAGTGGATTTCCAGAAGAAGAAAAATCAGGTGGGGAAAAGGATCAAATATATTGTTTTTTAAATCCAAAATGCTCCAGTCATACTATGCACATTCGTCGGGATTCTGTAGGCCTCATCTACGCTGAAAGTGTTTCGTGTCTCCCTCAAAACATTAATGAATTTGTTTGCATCCTAATCATAGATAGAATTGCGGTTTTCATTTCAGTGGCACTGTAATATGGAATAGGCTACCACGTGAATTAAGTTCTAGTACCTTTGTTGAATCATTCAAGAGGCATAAAGATAATGTTGTAGTTTATTTTGTAGGTTTACATGTATTGATTAATCTGATTTGTAAAGAGATTTGATCAGTTTTGTACTGTATATAGCGCTTTAGAAGAAAATATATCGTTCAAACATTTCATAGTTTCATGAAGACCAAATTTTATCACTGCTCACTGGTATCCTTCAAAAATCATTATTTTACTTACAACTTAGTTATAAAAGCAATGATGGTCAAAAACGATCTCAACTTCTTCTGATCTGAACTGAAATTAACTGAATTGAATTGAACTTCTTTTTCAAAATCAGTCTTTAAGAAAGAAGTACAAATGAATACATAGAAAATATTAGATCTATTGTGTAAACTGAAAGTTGAACTGTGATCTGTATTATACGTATATTAAGTCTTGTGTATAAGGACCATTAAAAAAAAAGGCGATTAAATTTAGCTAAGGGGTGGAAAAGGCGGTTGGCGTAGTTAAGCATTGCATTCATATGGAGGAGTAGTGGTATATTTGTTTAGTATCTTAACGATAAATCCAAATGTTTGAGGGTTCGAATCTCAGCCCTGCACTCACGTCTTTTGGCAAGACATTATTCCACATTTGCCACTCTCCACCCAGGTATATAAGGGTACCTCAACATTGCTGGGGTTAATGATAATTGCAGGGCCTGCAAGAAGAGCAGTATTTGTATAAATGTAAAGCTACAAAGGGTAAATAAGACTCAGTTATTTTTAAACACGTCTTTATCTTGCAGGAGCTTAATGGGAAGGTACTTCAAATGAAGGAGCAAAGCGATCTAATCGAGAAGACGTTTACAGAGGCGCTTGCAAGAAAGAAAGGGATGGAGGCGCTCAAAGAGAGAGCAACTGAAACGAAAGAAATACGGGACCAACTCGACGCGAAGGCCGCAGAAGCGGAGACGATGGCGAAAGAGAAGAAGGAGCTGAAAGGGAAAGTCGCTGAGATGAAGAAACTGAAGGAGGTACTCGAAGGGAAAGTGACAGAAGCGGAGACAAGAGAGAAGGGGGTGGAGGATGAGCTTGAGGTAAGCATCTCAAACAAGTTTACTTGGTTCCAGGATCATTTCTTCTTGTGCATGGGGTGATGCCTTTTCGAAGGAATAGTAAGGGAGGGTAAAGCGAAAAAAAATAAACTTGTCTACTACTTATTTGTATACTTCTTGAAGGATGTTCCCCCTAGCATCTCAAAAGCTTGCTTGAGGCTTGTCAGACATATCAACAGCTAATTTATGCAGTGGATTCCATCTATAGAAATGCCATTATGTTCGGCAGGTGGATTAAATAGTTCATAACCAGGAGTTCTGAAAAGAAACATACCCTAAATGAAATAAAAAATAGTATAAAAAAGTATATTCGAATCATATAAGAACACAAAAAATCTGTGCTCATGAACAAATATTGTCAGGATACGGTAGGACGATGGTAGAATAACATAATTTGCAATAATAGTTATCATCCGTTAGCGAATTATCCATCATTCGTTATTTTCCAGTACAATCCATTACTTTTTCTTTTTACTTTATTATCCATTTTATCTTTCTTAATACTTTCTGTCTCTTGAAAGGGGGAGAAGAAGCAAAAGAAAGGCAGAAAATGAGCGAGAGTTTGGAGAATATACATACATAAATTCAACTGGATGATTGCATTTTTTAATGTAAATGAAAAAGATCTAACTCTCACAAATGATTAAGTCATGAATACTTCATGTATCCACTCCACCTTCCACTGTCAAGTCGTCTCATATTCTGTAGTTCTAATCAGATAAAAAAAAAATCCTACTAATCTTTCTCCTCTGTTCTCCATTTCATCTTTAGGCGATGAAAGCTGCTCTGAACACTGCTGCCGTTGATTGTGGTCTGCTGACAAAGGTTGGGGATACACTCACGATCACAGACTTGTGCCAGTCGCTTGATGACATGAGCCAACTCAATGCACATATGAAACTCGAGATAAACGACTTGGAAAAGGCTAAAGCCAATCTTGAAGAAATGGTATGTGAAAGAATAAGACAGCAAAAACAACATAATATTTGACAAAAAGTTGGTATAATGTCCTTTTGGTTTTCAATTCAATGGCCTCACATACACCAATAAAATATCCCTGTTAACAAAGTGTTTTCTGTTTTGTCTACACCTCTCCAGTTTCTCTGATGCGAATTGACTTTAAACTACGACTCTGAACGTTTTTGATCTCATATTCGATTTTTGTTGTATAACTCGATATATGGATCAGTTTTGTAAACAGTGACAACTTAGAAATAAGATTTTAAACTGAACCCCATCTTTTCAAGCAAATATGTAGTACATGACTATTAGGGGAGCGGGTGCCTTTGATTGTTTGAAAGAGATAAATGGCGCCATACAAGTGCTGTGGATTATCATCATCATCATCATCATCATCATCATCATCATCATCATCATCATCATCAATTGAAATGGCCTCCTGCAAATAATATCTTCTCGCACCACTGTCGGCTCTACGGGTTTCAGACCCCAATTGTTCTCGAATAAAATTCCTATTCAAATTGATTAAAATGAAATTAATAATCACGATATAAATCAACAGTTACCACCAGTGAATCTGATGAAAACACATGCGACTGGTGGCTATACTAAAGAATATGTGAATTTTTAATTTTTTTAAATCCATTTATTACGTTCTCTACCCTGTACAGTTGAAGGCGAGTGATCCCTTTCTCGAGAGCGGTGATTCGGGTGACGATAGGAGGTAATTTGATTCCTTTTACAATAAAGTGCTGCAAGGAAAGGCAACATGATTATATCTTATCTGAAATCATAGCTAAATTAATTTCGATAGATGAAACCACGTATCGATTGTAGGAACACAAGGAATGTAAAAATACAAACATTTGCTGCCATCATCAAAATAGACAAAAGCCCATCGGACAACATGAAATTATGTCTTTATCATTAATGCAATCTGTTTAGAATTATCAGAAATTATCAGTGTATTCTTAAAATTCATGAAATTAAGAACAAAATATATGCTTATATGAATATCTCTTACGAATGCTCCACATTATTTATGTACATCACGTAGAAAGAGCACTGAAGAATCGATTCGATCAGATACACTTAAACAAATTTAACATGGACAACTAGAATCAATCGAAACTTAATTAGACTAGATATATTAATTTTCTTCAATACACACTGATGATATTTTTGTTTGCAGTATGGGAGAGCGTGAAAGGACTGAACTGAAGGAGACTGTTAAAGATCTTCGTTTCCAGACATATAAACAAGAACATCTACTCAAGAAACTCAGATACCAACTCTCCGAGTGAGTATTACATGAAAACAAATTTCTGAATACAAAGATATATCAAACAATTTCCTAAAGGAAGTGGTTAAAAGAAAGGGGAAAAAATATTAGTGTCTTCAGAGAGAATATTTTGTTTCTTTTATTTTTTGTGTTTTCTGAGCTATAAGTACGCACTGAAGAGAAAATGGAAGAAAAAGGTTAGCAACACCCCTGCTTAGAAAAGATAAATCTCTTTGCGTTTTGGATGATCATGATGTGTCGAATATTAGAAGAGATGGATATTTTGTAAAACCTTCCAAAAAGCTTTAACAGTTTAATAGTATTTTTGAAGAAATTAAAATTGAAAAAAGTGAAGAAAAGGAAGTTTTCTACAAAGGAATGGATATAATAATATACATAATCACAGACTGCAACTTGTTATGATGTTATAAGTTATAATATCCCTAACTCGTATTTACTTTCGTTTTCAGATTTCACGAGTTCATGTTAGAGAAAAGGGACACTATGTTTGCCGACATGCCTTATGTCGACCGAGCCGTGGTCATGCGAATCTACTCCGATGTCAAGCTGAAGGCCATCGACATCGCTGACCTTTCCTTCTTACCTGACGCCCAGGTAGATGATGACGAGGATCAGATCGGGAAGGGTGCGTTCGGGAAGGTGTTCCTTAGGCAGTACAAAGGCGAGGCCGTCGCCGTCAAGGTACCGTACGTAAGCGTACGGGTGAAAGAGGAGGATTCCGAGAAACGGATGATTCGCATCAAGGCCAACCATGCTCGTACGACCATGGAAGCCTTTGTCCACCTCACACTCGCCGACCATCCTTCTTTCCCGAAGGTAATCGGCGTCGTTGACATCGACGGTGCTCCTTCCCTCGTCCTCGAGTTCCTTGGCGACAAGGAAACCGGTGCGGTCTTCTCCCTCAGCCAGGCCATAAAACACCCTAGTCAGTCACTCACCCAGAGAGATTGGTTCGGCATCATCACAGACATCGTCAACGGAATACAGGTCCTGCATGCTAAAGGTCTCCTGCATAACGACCTGAAACCCAACAACGTTCTCTTGCAGTGGAACTACAGCGATAAGAGATGGCACGCTTTCATCATCGACATGGGCAAAGTGTCCACCCAGACAATACCCCTCAAGCACCGCCACATGCCTGACGCTGATCGAGAGGAGTACAATGATGGCACCCTGTACCAACATCTGGCTCCAGAATACATGTTAGACCAACAACCAATGTCTGTTCAAACTGACATCTTCTCCGTGGGCAAGATGCTGGGTCGGATCGAGGGCAGGGTGGTGAAGAGCCGAATCCTGAGAGAGCTGGTGGCTGAGATGACCAACATCAAACCTCGTCTTCGTCCATCCTGGAAACACATTGAGAAGGCCGTCGCAAAAGCCCAGAAGAAGAGCCTGTCATGATCCCGTGCTCTGATATATTGATGACATTGTATTTGTAGCGTAAGGTAGATAAGATATATTAATCATTATCTGATCACCAGCTGACATTTTATATGATATTTTACATACTGATGCTTTCGAGAGGAAATTTTTGCCGATGAAAAATATTCAGGCCTTCACATCTCAATTTCAGAAATTAAGCATAAAAATGAAGTTGTCTTTTACCGAGGCATTTCAGAGCAGGTTGACACCAACACTTTCAAAGGCCACTGTTCACAGTGTTTAAGTAATTGATGAAAGAGAAATGTAGAAATGATTATCAAAAAGATTTCGAATGAAATTAACTTGTACGGTGCTATGAAAAAGAAAATAGGGAAAGCGTCGAATCGAATGGTAGATACAAAATGAATAATGCTACATTAGGAAACAACAAGTCCAAAATGTAAACAAGACAAAACTGGTAATATATTTGATTATCCGTTTAATGACAAAAAGGTCAAAATATTAGCCAATATAATACCGAACCAAAACAAAAAGTGTTCCCCAGGACGAGATCGAAGGAAAAATTGCCGATGATAGGGCAAGAAGAATATTGATCAGCTATTTTTTTAAAGCTATTTCGACTGATTTATTTGATATGTCAATATTATGTATTTGATGTAGGCCGATTTTGTGTGACGAAATGTTATTTACATATCATGTTTAGTTTATATTTGGAATGATATTAGAAATGACTTAAGAAAGTTGACAGAACAGAGCAATGGCCAGAGAATGAATGATAAAGATAGTAGGAAGCTAAAAGAAAAGTTTGAAAAGCGTCTGATCACACCAATTATTGAGTGATTTTATCAAGTCCTTTAGTACTGTAGGAAGCCACGCCTCAAGCCACTTGACTGTCAGGTCCTCACAGACATCCAGACATGCTTACAAAGTCCCAGAATTTCCTTGACTGGTTAGAATTCAACATCTTTCTTCGTCTTGGAAATGGAAGTCGTTTGGAGTGTTTTCTGCGATTAAGTCTGTTTGTGATCCTGATTGGAAGGTTTGCTTTGGGTAGTGGATTTCAGGCGGGAAGGGAGTTGGTAGGTCACGTGACAGACGGTTCTGACCTCAAAGGTCGACACAGGTCCCTTTGCGTCAGAACACGATTGGAAAGACGAAAGTTAAGATAGGCTGGAGCTAACGTGACTGAAAAGCTCAAGGAAATGTTTTAAGAAAAGCTTTTAAAGAATGTATGATGATTTGAGATGTAAATACAATTATTTATTCTATTCTACACACATGCGTTTTCTTTCGTGGTACTGTACTAATAAATTGTAGAATATACAGGATGCAGATGTACAGATTATTGAGGGGAGAAGAGAAAGGGGAGATTAGATGAATGAGTGAGAGAGAGAGATAGATTGAGAGGGGAAGACAGAAAGAGAAAAAGAGGTGGAGGGAGGGAGAGTTAAAATGAAAGAGAGAGGGAGAGAGAGAGAGAGAGGGAGAAAGAAAGAGAGAGAGAGAGAGAAGGAGAGAGAGAGAGAGAGAGAGAGAGAGACAGCTATTCCAAGCAGCAAAACTTGGGTTTGTAATATACATGTATAAAAGAAAATCTTAAAATATATTTTCATCATTTCAAGTCAATTATAATCTTATATAAATTTTAAACTATATAAAGCCCCCATCACACCGAACTAGTTCTCACTACGTTGTGGAAAATGTTGCCCAACGGGCTCAAACTGTGTGTGAACGGAGTGAACGTAGCATCTTTTTTCCTGGACGGGCTCGGACTGGCTTGGACGGGAAAGGTGCTCTAGAATTTTGAGCCTGTTTAAAATTTCCCCGTCCTGCAATTAGACGGAGTGACAACGTATTATTGCACAAATTCGACGAAATCTCGAGAAAAAAAATTCAGTTCGATCCACAATCCGCTTTTTGTTCAATCCCAATGCTTCCATTTTTTCTAACTTAAGAGAGGAGTGATTGTTTGGTGTGAGTGTGAATAAAATCATTATTAAATGCAAGTAACTTCTAATTTTCAATACTTTATTGCATCTTACCCCGGTCCCCAACATAACAAAATCCTCTGGACGGCCATGCATTATGGCCCAGGGCACACAGAGGATTTTTTTTATGTTGGGGACCGGGGTAAAATGCAATAAATGAATTGAAAAATTATTGCATTTTCTTTGTTTTTTTCTTCAATTTATGGAAACTGCCCCCTACCATATCCCCCGCTGCGTACAGTCATGGTTCAGTGACAAAGCAATGGCCTCGTAACTGTGAGGCCCCAGGATCAAAACCGTGTCGATGTGCTATGTAAGTGCCCTTTTGTGCGGCATTAATCCTCATTACTGTCATTTATGACTTAAGGGCGTAGGTCCCCTAGTTAATAAGCATAGTAGCATACACATGCTTTAGTAGTCACGTAAAACACACATTTTCATATTATTATTCAATAAAACATGAGAATGTATACTATTATTTAGATCTTTTATTTTTATATTATTTTAAAAATAATGTCATAAATTGGGGTAAAACAAAAATATTCCAACTATATGAGCGACAGAACGGAATTTCCGTACTTCGATCCTACTTGGAACGTGTTACAATGTGCTGTGGTCGAATATAAATTAGCAGCAGCTAAGCCCTCATCACATCAAACTAGTTTACACTACGTTTCGGAACCGTCCTAGAAAGTCGTAAAATACGGGTAATGGTCGGGGTAGAATGTGTAAATAATGTCTATAATACGATCCTAGATCGTTCATGAACAGTCCTCAATATACGTCCATCTCGTCTGTACGCTGTTCACAGTCAGTTCACATCAAGTTCAGATCGGGTAAATTTAAGCCCCCATCACACCAAACTTGTTCTCACTACGTTCTCGAAAATGTTGCCAAACGGGCTCAAACTGTGTGCGAACGGAGTTGAACGTAATAGCAACTGTTTGCGACCTGTTAAGGACTTTATGGACGGGCTCGGACTGGACTAATGTCTATAATACGATCCTAGTTCGTTCATTAACAGTCCATACTACGTCCAACTCGTCTGTACCCGTCCACAGTCAGTTAATATCAAGTTCAGATCGGATACATTTTATTTTTCTAAGCAGTCCAAACAAGTTTTACTGGTTCGGAACTTCTTCTAACTAGTTTATAACCCAACCACCCCGTTCAGAAACAGTTCAACTCGTCCTCATCTCGTTCATAGTGCGTTCGAACGCGCTTCTATCGTGCTTTGCAATCCCGTCCTGATTCGAGTGCTATACAAACCGAGCGCGTTCTTCCTCATTGATGCTCGACCACATCACGTGGTAACACGTTCCTAGTAGGATCGAAGTACGGGATTCCCTTCATAGTACGTCCATCTCGTTTTAAGTACGTTGTCACTCCGTCCATTTGCAGGACGGGGAGAATTTTGAACAGGCTCAAAGTTCTAGACCACCCTTCCCGTCCAAGCCAGTCCAAGCCCGTTCACACACAGTTCGAGCACGTTTAGCAACATTTTCCAGAACGTAGTGAGAACTAGTTTGGTGTGATAGGTGCTTGACTTGAACGTCTTGATCTGCATTTATTTCCTCATAATATTCCTGAGTTACAACGCAAAGGGCTGATACAGATCATGACCTTCTAATTCTTTTATAAGGTCACAGGTGTGTGCGAAAGTTTGCGAATCAGTAATAATACATTTCATATCACCAAAATCGTCTGCTTTTCAACTTTGCTGCTCCCCATTGGGGATGCTTTTATTTAAGACACGTTCTTACAGAGCACACCATCCAAACAAAACCCAAGAGAGGGAAACTGCTCCTTTGTCAATGACCGAAAATGCTTACGCAGTCGTTATTGTTAAAACAGCTGAATGTTCTCATTAAGATGCACATAATCAGAAGGCGGCGACTATCATTGGATCAAAGAAGAATCACGTTGAATGTCCATCCGTAATAGGTCCATGGTCACAATCAGGTGATAAGCTTCATGAAACAGCAAAGAAGTTTACAGACACAATGAACCTCATTTCAAATCATGGCAAACTTTTTAAATGCCCAAATGTTTGAAATAACAAATGAAGTCATTACAAACATGTTAGAGTATTGACCATGTATCCAAGCAAACCCATTAGCAGACTTAAAGTTGATTCATCGGAGTATGAACTGGTAGAACCAAGGAGTTTTAAGGGATAGAGTCAAATCTCGCTCATTCCCTTTGTACCATCTTCGATGCCACCAAGAGAAAATTTGTCAGGTATGTGTTTAATACCCCCTTCACATACACGGATTTTTCTTACGAGTCCTTACGGATCGCCAACTCGTAGTCAATCGCAAGCATCCGTAAATAACTCGCTGGTATCCGTAAATAACTCGTCACAACTCGCAACAACTCGTAGACACTCTTAATGATCCGTGAAAGGAGAGGCAAATTTTTTGACATGTCAAAAATCTTCTTACGATTGTCCACGGATTGATTTGTCCGTAAATAGCTCTTAAATAGCTCGTAACAATCCGTACCATCCTTAAACCGCTCGCAACAACACGTAATCATTCGTAAACTGCTCGCAAGCATCCGCAACTTTTGTAACGATTCTTTACGGTTAGTTTACGATTTGTTTACGGATTATTTACGGATTGTTGCGAGCAGTTTACGGATGGTAACGTGTGCTTACGTGTTTTTTACGATTTTATTCGGGTCATTTTACGATGGCTTTACAGATTGATACGGGTTATTGCGAGCATTTTACGTGTAGTTATTAGTACTTTACGAATAGATACGTATACTTTACGTATGCTTACGAATTGTTTACGATTTGGGGAAAGGTATAAAAGCTGCAAATTCGAACACATCATTTTCAGTTGTTATTTTTTGGCTAAAAATCGTAAGGACTCGTAAATTCTCGTAACTTACTCGTAACTATTCGTAACAATACGTAAACAGGTCGTAACTAACACGTTAGTTGCTCGTAGTTATCCGTGACAACTCGTAACAAATCGTGAACTGTTGCCGTAAAAACATCGTAATAACTCGTAATAATCCGTAATAAAACGCAAACAGGTAGTAATAACTCTTAAACCGGTCGTAAAAGTGGCCAAATCGTATAAGGATCCGTGAAAGATCCGTGAGTTTGTGCGATCCGTAAGGACTCGTAAGAAAAATCCGTGTATGTGAAGGGGGTATTACTGGATCTTTCTTGTTGATAACAGAGAGGTGAAGGAAAGGAGTGGAATCAAGCCGCTTTCTCTAACCCCATGCTCCAAGCAGCCGAAAAGTTATGCGCTAATCTGCAACTGTTCACCAGGGATCCATAAAAGAGCGCATGAAATTTCAGGATTTAGAATTTTTACATCAGAAAATGGTATCACAGCAACTGTTCGCTGTCCCTTTCCATGTTGAATGTGTAATGAGTAGAACAAGCAAACACAAACTTGTGTAATTTCATCCTTTTTCCAACTGCAAAAATACAAAAAACATGCGAAAACACGCATTAGCAAACTTAATGTTGTCGAAGATTGTAAATCATGGATTAAATAACGAGACATTAAAACATGCACAAAGTAGCGCATTTTCCTAAAATATTAGGTTTTTGTCAGGATCTAATTTTTCTTTTACCAACTCTGGCACACAAATTATAGGAAGGGCGGAGTACTAAATTTGAAAAGTTGTTTGTTGCACTATCCCCAATACAATCCTCTTATAAAGTTTATAATGTACCCTGAAATTTTGCCGGTAATTTAATATTTTGTTCTAAATGTGAAACTGGTGCCTGGCTTCCGAAAGTCCCCTCAGTGGAAGCGCGGTTCGGAGCATGGAACTTCAAAGCCAAGTGGAGTGTTACAAATCCCATTGTTACGCTTTAGAACTCACGAATGCGTTTGAGTAAATTACAAGAGTTTCCAGCGGATCCAGGAAGGGGCCCAATTCGTGGAAAGATATTTAGCGGCGAACCAGCCGGCGAATAAGCCGGGGGGAGGGGTGAGGGGGGGGGGGGGGGTAATGAGCACCATTTTTTTTTTGCCAGGGGTGGGGCTGTTCCCCCTGGCCCCCCAGGATCTGCCACTGTGTGCGTGTTCGTATGCATGTGTTTTATACTGTACATTTGCGTACACTTTCAGCAAGTTGAACCAGCTCAATGCTTTCTGCCTTGTTGACTAGTTACTCCCTCGCCTCTATTTCACGTACTGTCTTCCGCCATTCGTAAATCATCTGATAGGAAGCTTGCATGGAGTTGCCCTGTTGGTCTTTCTCAAACATACCTT